TAACAACCTGTAACAAATTGGTCACAGGGAACAGCTTTTGAACAGTCCTTAAATGTGTTTAAGTTTCTTTGAATGTGCAAGATGGACTGCATGCGCAAACCCAACCGGCCGACAGCAAGACCTTGGAAAGTCCCTCAGTGCAGTCAGAACCTTTAGTCCGTCCAACACGATACCGACGTCTGGACTCTCCGACGTGTTCGTCTTGTTCCTGTAGATTGTCATCTTTTGTATTGCAAGGTCCCGTGAAACAGCGTCTTCACCAGCATGAAATAGCAAGAAGATTGAGTATTACGCACTGTACATCCAAAAGATTACGTCCTGAACATCCACCAAATTAAATTAATATTCATTTTCCGTTCACAAATATCTTACTCTACATTCACTAACAGGCTGGTCATATGTCAACTGATCTCCATAAACTCATGGAGCTCTAATCCAATGCAACTATGTTAAAAGGACTCTTGTCTGCTTTGGCAATGGCTCTGAATTCAGACAGCAGGTGTAATCAAATTAAACAAAAATGTGCACACATACCCAGAGGACAAAAAATATTTAAATTTATGTGAATTATTATCAATGGAACTGTAAAACGCAGCGGCAGTTGCCTCAACTTACTAGTAGAAATACCGTTATGCTTGTGTGTTGTGATTTGACCATTCCAAGTCCTGACGGGTAGAAGGGATGAGAGAGGGACATCACTTTCTTTAAACTTGCCTCAGTCTTTTATGAGTTGATCCATCGTCTCCACGAGGTAGAGCCTGAATGACAGCGTCTCTGGTCGCGGTAATGCTCCAGATGCTGGATGTCTGAAATGAAAAAAACAAACTTAGGAGTTAAAATCATTCACTCCGATCCTAAATTCCACAAATCCAGCTGTGACTCCAGAAATTCTTCATAAACTCCCACAAAACAACATTTTACAACTTGATTTTTGTACGATTAATACATACCACGTTAAATAGTGAGGTCATTCAAAGTAAAACGTGATTGTAACATTCTAAATTTGAATAATGATGTACCTGAAAAAGTGTCACCTTTATGGAAACCAGAAATCCATGCAGTTAGATGGCAGAGAAGCAAATGATATTCCATTGTTTAAAATCATAAAATAAACCTCTGCAAACACAATAATGAAGGAAACCTTGAGTGGGATGCCTCGGCCTCAGCTCCAGATCGTGGATCTGTAAGACAAATAATGAGATCTGCTTTAGAGCAGCACATATTCCGAGCGTACACATGGTTCTTAATCCTGTGTTCACACAGAGTAGTTTACAAACAGAGTCAATGCACTGACGCAAATACGTCCGTTTACGTTGCACATCACGTAAAGAGCAGAGTAGTAGATTCTTTCACTGACTATTCCCCAGAAATGTAACCGGGGGCCGGGGGCGTACAAGGAATACACTTGTGGTGGATAAAATATCTATTTTTGATGATATATTGGGCGTAAAATACTAGAATCACATTTTAAAATAATTTAATTTAAATACCTGAAACCAATAAAATTCCCAGAATAGAATACGCAGGGAATGACTCACTGTGATATATAAATTGTGGTGGAAAATACTATAGATTTCTCTCCTGAAATTCAACAGGAACAAACAGTTCATTCCAAACATGTATCCGCTTGAATTCAAATCCAAAAATATATTTAGTCTTTTCATCAAGGTTTCTTTTTATGAACGGTGGTGTCTGTATCATTTGTTGTGACTCACCCCCTCTAGAGTGAGAAGCTGTGGTCACCTGTTTCTGACGCCTACACTAATGTCTCCATAACACCAGGATGTGGCTCCTTGAGTCATGTTTTTACCACACCATCAATTAATATTAAAGCTATAAACGTTTTGGCGTGGCAGAAAATATTGAGTATTAACTATATTGATTTTTAAATAGAACAATTATAATAATGCTGCAAATATGAAAAAAAAAAGATGAGACCAAGAAATATATGAATTCTATTAGATAACTGGATGAGATGCACAGTCCAAGACTTTGATGCATGAAAAATATTTATTTTGCTTTGTATTTATAATCAACATATTTTTAGGTGATTCTCTTTCTGGTTGTGATCGTGCTCCTTTTGGCCGTCACAACGTGTGGCTCCGGTTTTGGTGTCTGATGCCTGAGACGCCACGGTCAGAGTACTGCAAAGATATATTTGACTATTTTGTCTATTTGGGCCTGTAGATTTCTCTTAAATATACTAAAAGTTACCATAAGATGATGGCTCATTTGCATATTCAAACAACCAATTTCAACTTGTAATACAAAAAACACATGTTGTCTTCATGCAAGTCAACATGTCTGTTGAAATTAAGAATGAATATGAAGAATATGAATGAAGTAACTGGAGCTGATGGAGGGGTGGTTTTCTAATGGACGGGTCCCTGCACTGGACACACAGATTGAAAGGACACGTATCTTCTTGAGTGATTTGGGGGAAGATGCCGCTTTTAAGTAGCTCATGAAACTTAATCTGTGACGCCTTGGTTCTGCTGACACTCTTGAGCACAAGAACAAGTGAGCAGAAGTGTAGAAGGTGAATAAAGATGCACGGATCCCACTGTTTCCCTGCGTGTGGAGCCTTTAGAGGCAGTAAACAAACATGTGGGTGGATTCCCATTGTTGAAAGCAGATATAAGAGTTTCTTAGCGCTATGACTCCTCCATTCACACCAGTACACCTGTGTCTTTTGGGTGGGTTCTAGAATTCAAGGAACTTGTGTATTGATACCAAACATAAACAGGGTTTAGAGGAATAAGATCATTTTAGTAAAAGCAAAATCAAGAAGATCATGGATATAAAAGGAAAGATATTAGAACATTTGAAAAATAGTACACAATATTAGATGGTGGTAAATAAATAAAGTTATGTCAAAAATATGTAAGAACTGCAAAATATAGATTTAATAAATAACATTGATTGGAGAAAAATACAAAATGATGCATAACGAACAGAGACAAATACTATGACATTATTTAGGACCTACACATTGAATACAGGAACCAAATATGAAACATACAATTTAAATTATAGAGGACACAGAAGAAACATAAATATTGAATAGAAGAATGATCTGCTATTAGACGAGTGCAGAGCACACTCGTAAAGCAGAATTTTTGCATTTAATATAAGCTGAGACACTGCGTGTCTAAAGCACATATGTGTGAACATGCAGACAGAATATAGGCATTACTTTTTATAATTTTATAATACAATTTATAATTGAGTGAATCAATCTGACATGTAGAAATCTAATGTAAAAAGAAGGATGCTTTTACAGCAGATTAACAACGATGTGTAAGTGCTGCCACAAGTCCCTCTATTGTGTAGAAGTGTGGGAGAAGACTTGGCCGGACGCTGACCTTTCTGCTCTTCTTTTCTTCGAAGCTTTTTGAACCAGCCTTTGTTTGAGGGTCCCGCTGGGCGTTAGACCACTCTCCTCTCTCTCTCTCTCTCTCTTGCTCGGAGTTTGGGATTTTACTCTTTGACTATTTTGGTCTCACTTTTACTTTTCATGCCCTAAATATCACAGAAAGAATCTCCATTCATAGCAGTAACCTCCAGTGCAGAATGTGCTACGTTGACCCTGGTACTCAACATGCAACTGTGGTTTTAATAAAGGTTATTACATTACAAGTCATTTAGCTGACGCTTTTATCCGAAGCGACTTGCAACAAGTGCATTTCAACCATAAGGATTGAAGAGTCGTGATCTAGTCGAGTGTTTTGGGAGGAACGAGCAGTTTATCAGATCCAGAGCGGAGAGTGCGAGTTGGGATGTAGGGTTTGACCATGTCCTGGATGTAGACTGGACCGGATCCATTCACAGCATGCTATGTGAGCACCAGTGTTTAGAACTGGATGCGGGCAGCCACTGGTGGCTAGTGAAGAGAGCGGAGGAGTGGAGTAGTGTGGGAGACTTTAGGAAGGTTAAAGACCAGTCAAGCTGCTGCATTCTGGATGAGCTGCACACGTCGAATGGCGGCAGCAGGGAGACCTGCAGGAGAGAGTCATCTTCTCAAAACATCAGTTCCGTTGTTACTGCCATCTGGAGGAAAAATAACCGTAGATGATTTGTATGTTTTCTCCCAGACAAAAACGTCTTGTGGGACAAACGCTGGGCCTTCTCTCATGATGTTGGGCTGTGGGTGCAGGAGGTGTTAGACGCTAGGTAGCACATCTCGTAGTTTATGTGAACCTGTTTCACTGAATACAATATGACAAAGAGATCGAATAGTTCAGAAAAAAATAAGTATATAATATACTGTAATCAGAGTGTGTCATTGTTCATATGTATACACACAGATGCATGAAGCATTTTCTCATTTTCGAACCCAATGACTAGCAATGGAACATGCCCCCCCCCCCCCCCCGTGCAATGATTGAAACATTAGCTTTGACTTTGTGCCTCGTGTCATTTCTTTCATGCCAAACGCACCTTAACGTTATTGCAAATAAACTTGTTTATTTTGTATTGATTCCTAATTATTGCTAAAGCTTCTCATTCGACGGCGTCCCGTTTCTGAGGTCTCGGCCCAGTGGCACCAATCACCATCATTAAAGATAAGCACGTGGAACCGTCGAGTCTTCTCAATGCGCTGGTATTAAATTGAGATAAAACGTTCCTCGCAGTAACTTCAACATGCTGCTGATGGAATCTCTTTTCCTTCTTTGTCTTGTGTGTGGGTAGTGCGGTACCAGAGACACGAAGTGATAAGGCCGCATGCTCGCCAAAACATTTGGTGCATTCTGGCCATGATCTTCAATCCCTGATTCATGCTTCATGTTTTTTTTTTTAAGAAACGATTAGGCTTTTTCTTTTCTTATTGGACAGGAAACCTGTACATATTTGTACTGCGTTACAGAATAAATGTAACAGACATAGCTTTAAGGGTTATCTTTACAAACTTATTTTAAATGTCAATCACGAGGCAAAATGAGCAGCGGCGGACGTGGTTCTTCTGAACATCAACAAATGACAGCATGCAGACTCCACGGTCACTGATTATTCCCGTCTACTTTATTGATCCACATTTATTCCACATGGGAGTTACAGAATAGAGCCATGTGCAGACTGACACAAAGACGTGAGCTAAAGTGACATAGAGTCTATAGAAATCTATGGAAGTATTTAGAAAAATAACAGGGATATTTGGTTTTCTCCTTATTGCCGAGATCACTGATCACTGGACTAGGACCACTGGACTAAGTTGCATTAGGTAAAATGACATAACATAATATTGTCAGTGTTCTGCAGAAACCTTGTCCGTCCATATAAATGTAAAGTGACCTCACAAAGGACTCGTCGCTTCCCATTTCCTCCTGGAGGGCAGGTGAAACCACACGCGGTGCCTGTTTACCACATGGAACTGCGATGCTACAGGGATTATGGAATAAAGTGTTTGCTGACAGCACCGCTAGCTGTGCTTTAATAAACAAGACAAAAACACAAATCACCACATTTGCTGGTTTAAACCTGTAAAGCGCCATAACCAACTTTTGGACATTTGGTTTCCGGCCAACTGCAGCAATATTAATGAATTACTAATTCATAATAGCAGCTGAATATTGAACAGCTTATTTTCCCTTTACTGAGTAGCAGGAAATTGGAATAACTTAAATACATAAAACAAAAATATAGTGTAGCGCGTGCACAGGAAGAAGAAATAAAGGGTGTGCATTAGAAAAACTGATAATAACTAAATGTTACATATTACAAAATAAGGCAGGCTGAAGCTGCACGCGTGGGTCTGGAGACACGCTGCGACGTGGAGGTCCTCCACAGCAGAGTGGAAGAATAACGTGTAAACGGAAGATACGAGGTGCTTATGACCTCCCTGCATACACACATAACCTTCATGTGTGTACAAGGCAACAGAACGGTGAAATAAAAAATGATTAGGAGTGCACATTCCTTGTGTCGTCTCTCACAGGAATATCGATGACGTGCAGAAGGCCGCTCTGAAGTCTGCGTTCTGTTTCAGAGTTGAATCCTTTGTTTCTCCAAGCCAAGGCCCTGCTGCTGCACTCACGAGCAAGGCACCCAATCCCTTTGAGTTCCAGGTAACAATGACATGTTCCACTTTCCTGCGGGGCAAACTAACTCTTTTCCTGCAGATGGATGTATCATCGGTGTCATCACCCTCACGTGCTGCAGAATAGTTCCTCAGGTCAGAGGTTGCATTCAGAAGGAGACCGCGGGGCCCGGGTAGGGTTCCCCGCCACACCAGAAGTCTTCTGGTTGCGGGATCTCGAGGAGCCACGTCTCCTCTCCCTGCTTCACCTCCTCGCTCTCTCCATCCAATCCCCCCTCTGCCACAGTCTGGAGCGCTTTGTAGTAGTGACAGTCCCGCCCATCGTCTGGATTGTACGGTGGTGCCAGGATGTCCAGGAAAGCGGCTGGCCCCTCCACCGTGTCAATCTGGTGGAGGTTTTCCCGGAGAGGGGTGAGGAGACACGGCCCGCTGTCCTCGGAGTACTCGGCGACCGAGCGAAGCATGGCGCGCCGCAGGGAGGGAGTCTGGAACGGAGCCAGCGGGGGCTCGAAGTGAGGTAGGACGTCGCCGGCTGTGAGGTTATCCTCAAGCCTGTCAAAACAGCGGAGGCTCAACTTCCCGTAGAGAACCTGAACAGGAGACAGGACACAGTCAAAGGACGAACACAGTAGATATGATCCCCGTGGTGATATGATCAACAGGGAGTGACAGACACTCTTTTTGAATCAAACTGCTCTAAAAATGTATTTAAATCATGGTGTCCGGGGTTGGTTACTATTCAATCTGTTTCATTGGATCAGTATTGGAACCGATCAATGAAGTTGAGGACATCCGTCCCGCCACAGGAGGACGCGAGATAAGCATTTGATGGTGGGTTCGGACCCCCAATTGCCACAAAACTAAATATCAGTTCCAGACCGTCATTTATTAATGAATTAAATTCCCCCGCAAATCTACAATGGATCAAATGACCACAATCGGGGGGGCAGCATCACTGGTGTAAGGGCGGATCTGTGTGTGTACACAGGGGCCCAGCAAGGCACTTGGGTCAAATAAATACAGTCGAAATGTACCATTCAAAGTCCCTTTTACAAGGTAAAAGGACATATTAACTTAGTGAAGACCAAAGGGGTTGTGAACCTCATTAACTCAGTAAAAACCGTAATGTAACGTTACGTGGTGACCGGTTAGCAGCTAACGTTAGCTTGTACAAAGTAGGTTCGGGTTAGCCGGAGCACGGAGGGTCGCGTCAGGGCTCCTAAGAGGCCGTGACACGGCGGACGTGAGGCGGAGTAGACCTTCAGCATGCCGTTCATGCCCGGGTGGTCGTGTAGCGGTATGGAGGCGCCGGTCTTCAGCAGGAACACCCCCATGCTGAACGCCTCCGTCTCGCAGATGTGCATGTAGGTGACCGGGGGGCTCTGGAGCCCCGCTGCCCCGGAGCTCGGTTGGGTTTTCCGGGGAGCGATTTTCAGGTCAACGGCCCTGACCGCCGTCACCAGGGAGACCAGCTCACCCTGCTGGTCCTCCGCCAGCGCGTTGTCCCCGTTGGCGGACGACGTTAGGCCTTTAAAGGTGAGGTAAGCTTGTTGGGCTATTTTCTGAATAAGAGGAGTTTTGTGGTCCCGCGGCATTCTGGCGGAGGGAAGGAACTAACGGTTAACGGTTAACGGTAAGCGGTGTTTCTCCGGCACCGCAAGTCCTTCCGTTTCACCACACGTCCTGCGCAGCCCGACGGCCAGCATTGACAAAAGACAAAAAAAAACTACTTTGACAAAACAAAACGCAAATATCTAACGTTAAATTCACGCCGACATAAGAGACCCCCTCCAGTCATTTCCCACCGTCTCGCCTCCTCGTCAGCGCTCACGGAGCATGCGCGGAACACGCAAAGCAAGGCGGGATATGGAGTTTAAACCCAACATGTAAACGAATATATATTCACGTAGACGTGAACTGCGAATTATGTCTTGATCAGATGGTATTCTCTATAACGGCGTGTGCCTTTGTGTGGGCTCGGGCTGATACTAATAGCGTGAGAACAATGCATAGGTTATCTTGTATTTCAATGAGACTACATTACCCAGATACCCCAGGGAACGGCCATCGTTTTTGGAGGGCGGCAGTTCGTTGAACTCTCCCTCCTTATCTAACTTCACATCCTTCCTTCCTACAGACTTCTCATTTGAGATTTCTTAGTGATTTTTCATCAGAGACAAAGAAGTTGAACCTGCATGAAACACACATAGAAATGAGATGAATCCAATCAATGCAACATAGAAATAAATTAAATTAAAAAAAGAAGATAACGTAACGCCCTTTTCAAATGAATGTTCCATAATTGATGGACTCGGTTCAAAACAATTGCAGAATGCCTACACTATGAATTTAAAAGGGATGCACAGAAGGTCAATGGGCGTCATTTCCAAATAAGAACCCCATTACAATGGAACAGAGTAGCGTTTGCTCTTCAATGTGCATTCATTCTTTGGCTGTCACACCCTTTGACATGCTGTTGTAACATTGTTATAATTAATGAAGTGAAACTGAAAGTGGGCACACATTAAGGGACCTACTGGCCCTTGGATTGTAATGCATGCCCAGACGCAGCCCACTTCGACCAAACGCAGGCCAGCGTGGCGGATGGCGGCGCTGACGGTCTGACTGGCGAACGGTACGATCGACGAGGGTCATATGATGTGTCATATTTAGTTCACGGTTTAGATTGAAGTGCAACAGTTCTGTGTTCCCAGATCTCTCAGCACTTAATAACACAAAGACAACATCATTCTTTTTAGTCCTTTTGAACATAGATGTAACACAGGAAACTCTCGTATGAATTGTGTTTGTAATGTCATGTCATGTCATGTCATGTCATGTAATGGTTGTATGGGTAACTTTGACAGGCACAGGCAACTGAAATGTTTTTTTTTTGTTGCTGTTTTGCTGCTTTTTTTGGGTCTCTCTGTATTGTCTTGTGTTTCTTTTTGGTAATTGTGTGTCTCTGTGTTTCTCTTTGCAGTGATTTTGTGTACACTGTAAACAATTTCACCGTAAAATAACAGTATCCTACTGGCAGCGAGGACGTCAGTAATGTGATGTTTACGATACAGTTATTGTAATTTATTTGTATTTTATATAGTATTTTACAGTATTATTATTACTGCATGTCAACTTATTATCAATGTATTAATGAAACCTCCAACCCTGAATGAAAATAGCACGAACGGTGAAATTCTAAAAACGTAGGTTAAATTATGCACCAACTGTAAATTGACATGCAATGAATGATCATTTATGTTACAATTGTTATTAACAAATCTGTAAGATGCTGTTTTAAATCCACCTCGAGTTTACAGCTTTGTAGTGTCATTGTGTATCTCTTGGTATTTTTGACATTTCGTAGTCACTAAGTGTCTCTTCGTAGCTGCTTGTCATCTCCATGTAGTGGCTTGTGTCTCTTTGTGTTTGGTATGTGACATTTTGTAGGTGAAGGCAAGGGAGGTGCTTCAGTAATAATAATAGTAATCCATGTTTAAGCCCCATTGACCTTCAGTCAAGATAATCTGATCACAGGATCGCCATCGATGGAAAACCCAAAAGCTGTTGCCCCATCAGATTGTAGTAGTGTCTTCCGACTGAAGTGTGTGTCGGTAACCCCAAAAACAAAGAACGGGCCTGAGTCGCCCGTATCACAAACTCCCCATTTATCTGTGTGTGCAACTGCAGTGCAATTAGTCCTTTGGCACAGTTGTTGTTGGGTTTAGGTTTGAGTACCTCTTTACAAGCGTGTCTCTTTTTTGTTGTTGTAAAAGAGTAACTATGTGCAGTTGTGTGCGTGATGTATGGTGTATGACACAAAGCAAGCTACATCCTCTTGGCAAATAACAAGGCCGATACATTACAGGTACACACACAATCAGACACTTCCATGACGTCGACACGTGCAATGTCATCAATCAGTGTTCTCAAACGCGAGTAGATGGAGGCACTAGTGAGATTTTGTAAAACATATTTAAGCACTAAATGCTCCGAAAATGGCACATCCATGATAATGTAATAACTCTGGAAATACATTGTCAATTTCTTTTTGTAGGGATAAAAGGGAGCCACTGCGAGTGCTATGATGTGTAACAATCAGTCTATATGTTAGTGTTAGTGTTAAAAACAATATATCAATATAACACACAAAAAAAGTTTGAATTTTTAGGTTTTCCGCAGAACTTTTTATTAACTTCCCCCAAAGCTTTGACACGTAGGATAAAAACACATCTCCGTGATTTGTGGACAGTACACATGTAACGTTACAAGGATAAACTACTCTACAGAAGGCTGCTACGAAGGCCTTACGCCAGACAAACGGCTGCCTCATGATTAAACCGCCTGTGCTTCGATTTCTGTGTCTGCTTGGAGAAATTCTTATTTTTTTGCTGCGATAGTTTGGTGGTTACTTCGCGATAACTTGTGCAGGCTTCGTGTGATTTATTTTCGACGGACTGAAAAGGTTGTACACCACTGCACGCACAATCTTTGGGCAACGTTTTTACAGTATTTTTATTTTGCTAATATTACCACAGTTGTGTTTGCAGTATTTTTAAGGGGTTTGTTATTGTAGCCAGGACTCTAATGCTTCCAAAAAAACATTAACATCCATTCTAAAATATTTATTTAACTACGGGGCCTGATGGAATAATAAAACAAAAATGCAAAGGACAGAGGAACTACCATAAACTATATCTATAAAGAAACAATGTAAACATTAAAGGCCAGTTTCTAATGTACTCCCTTATAGAACACGCTTCTGTTTTGGTTAGATTATTCATTTGGGTGGTTAATGTCTCTCATCGATTGACAAGCTATTATTATGTCCATAAACAGTAGAATAAAATAAATACAAGTATTTTAATAGCAGAAGTCAGAGCAAAGCGAGTTTACCCCAACACAGTGTATCAGGCAGGAGATTCACTCACTGGTCACCAGCACAATAGACACTTGCATGGTTCATTTTTTGCTTTTTTTTCAAAATAAACTTTCAAAGTACAGTAAGTTGACTTGGTTTAAGAGTTTAAAATCCTTTGCCTAACTAAGCAAGAACAGAAATACAGTTGTTGATCAATTGTACTCTGCTTACACCTGCAGATGCAGTGTTAGTTATCCAGCAAAGTTACCCTCAATACACTGACTTTCACAGCGAACACAAGCTGTGGTCTCCATAGTGAAGGTCCTGTGTTCTTCACTCACATGGAGTCCCGTCCGCTGCGATTGAGTTTGCTCGCTGAAAGGGCGTCTCGCCGTTTGGAGTTTAAGTTTCGTAAAACAATATTGTTTGAATCATGCGTTCGCCAAAGACAAAGTTTCAAAGGCTGGTTTTTGTCTGAGATCGTATTTGCATTTTCTGCCGAACATAATGCCAACATTATTCCCTGGCTGTTTAAAATGTGCATGACTGACATTGCAGAGAAGTCAAGCAAGCCTCACCATGCTGTCCTCAGAGCGGCAGCCAAGCAACTCTGAATGAAACAAGTGATTCTCTGGCTGTCCACAATTTGCATAGCAATACACAAACACACACACACACACAGATGTGTGTGATGTACATTTGGCACACGCACGTATAATGTTTATATGTATATAGCCTGACAGAAGCAGGGTGCATATATACAAAATCATTCAGGTATGCATAAATATACAAGTGTTACTGGGTCACTTGTGCATGCACACACACACGCACACACACACACACACAGACCGGCAGAGATATTCACAAACACACATTCTCTGTCCTTTAGAATCAGCATATTGAAACAATGAGACAATGATAACAGCTGCTTATGGATCACTTAGTGCGAACAGTCAACGCGGCCTTTGTGTTCAGTCAATACGCCGCCTGTTCTCTGTCATCAGAGTTGTCATTATTTCGCAATGTGTTCCACGGCTGAGAACATGAGGAGTCTTTTATTTGTTGCCCCTCTGTGGCCTCGTTGAATCAGGCCATCGTTGAGAATGAAGCCAACTGTTGTCCGTCAAAGAACGCCAACTACCCGCGCCAAACATAAAAAGTCACCATGCCAGAAAATAAATGTCTGCATAACTCGTGGAAGCAGCAGGAGACGACGCAATGCTAATATTGTTTTTTTTTGTTTATCAAGAAAAGGCTTCGGACGAAGGGTTTCTGGGGATTTATGTTGGTGCCTCAATTGACTGGGGGACAACACAAACATCCCAGAATGTGTTCTTGGTGGCCTGTTGATGCACACACATTTTGAATTCGTCATAATACATCATTTATTGTATATTTCCATGTTAAACTGCATTTGTTCTTGAGAAAGGCCTCTTGAAGTGCCCACATGCCTTCTAGTCTTATTGCCAGTCTACAACTTTGTTAATTCTTGCATTGTCAAAACAAAGGGAGCTAAAACTAAAGCTGAAAAATCAGCTGATATTACTGTCCTGGGCTGGAGGCTGAGAGGATGCTGGTATCGTACCACCTAATGAATCCATTGGTACCAACCAAGTCAGGCAGTCAGTCATTTTGTGGAGGGGAACCCTGGTGTGGCTATATTCACAGGGGGCCGTAATCAGTCACAAGATATGTGAAAGGAAATGGTTCGGGAGTCCCCCCCTTTACAACCATATCAACACCATGATCAACCGGTGTAGTTTGGGGACCAGTACAGTTTTTTACATGCTGTAATGTATTATTTTCACCAAATCTAAAAATAGTGTGTTCTAATATTTCTGCCACTACAGTTTGGGAATTTCATATATGAGGAATAGGATTTAATGAGCTCAATCAAAGTGGTGATATGGATAGCTATATGGTTTATCACATGGTGCATGTACAGTATAACACACGTGTTCACTGTGGATACATAACCAG